CCCCCCCCCCCCCTCCCAACCCACAGTAATATAAAAACCTTGTGTGTACTTTAAATCATACACCGTGAAAGCTAGACATCAAAATGATTTATATCACTTCTCGTTTCAATCTACAAAATTGCAGAAGATTTTACAAAAGAAACCTTTTTGAAAATCATCTTTTCTTCATTTTCAAAAAAATTAATGACAAAGCAGAAATTTGTATATAACAAAGAATAGGTTTTTATTTTGCGTATATTAAATTTGTTTCATTACTTAAAAAATTATAGTTTTCGTCAAGTTTAAAAGTAATTCACGAAACCTGAACTGCACTAAAGTGCGTTTTTAAGTATGAATTTAAAGATGGTGTATTTTTGGACCTACGCCCATCCCCTCTACTGCCAATCCGACCTACAAGCACGTGGTTTTAACAGCTGTGTATAAACATATAATTTGTATAAACAGTGAGCGTATTAATGTTGATTTAGATGGAAACAGATGAAGGAAAGATGGTGTGAATTTGTGTAGAAAATATCGATATTAATTTATATGAATATGGATTTAAGAAATTTGTAGAATTAGTTATATGTAGGAACAATGTGCATGCTTGATAATAGTAATGATTTTATAACATTTTGATTTTAGAACTTAAATATGCCTTTAAAACACGTATTTCTACGTGTAGAACCAAAAAATCTCAATTTATTGGATTTTTTAGGTTTAATACTTAACACATTTTTACGTTTGTCTATACATATTTTTACGGATATAAAATACGTGTTTTTACCAAGGAAATGGTTACGAAAATACATAACGTTGTTTTACGTATTCTAAACCTAAAAAACGTAAATATATATATGAATGTCGTACGTGATTTTAGGTTTTCCGGTGCTGCAAATATCATTTTGTGACGTCATTTAGTGGGTCGTTTTCCTCCCCTAACTGCATGGCAAAGGCTCGTACTGCATAGCAAATCTGGGAGGCTCATATCAGCTGCATCCCTCTCCCAGCATGTTATGGTTTAATACAAAAATGACTAAATTTCTCTTTTTAAAATTCCATGTCCATGGGAGGATAAATAAAATGTCGGTGCANTTCTAAAAATGCTTCAACTCAGAATTGCTTCTGGAAAAGTTGGCAGCTAGTATGAAATATTATAGTTTAGGAGGAATTTGCAAGAGATCACATTGCAGGAAGACAAAACGGATGGGGACAGGAAGCGGTGAATACAGGGAAGAGAAATCACAATGAATATATTTTCTAATATTTTCTACATTAAATATACGAGACTAGTTCGTTAACCGTAGACTCTTTAGCAACATTTTTAATAATTTTCACACACCATGGGAGCATTTTTTTAGGGGTGGGGTTTAGATCCATCAATAACATAACAAATAACAATAATAACAATAACAGATTCATCGATATAAAAGCAGTACAGTACATGAGATCTTCAGTTCCAGATGTACAGAGAATTTAATATATGTACAGAAAGTAATATTAAATAACTAAGCAAAATATTAAAGTTAGATATGATGCTAAAATTATCCTAAATGTTATGAAAACCTACGAGGAACTCGTTGTGTAATTATTTAACCCTGAATTCCTCGGTTTCTATACTTTTAGATAATATTTAACCCTGGGTAGGGTCAGATCATCTTCAGCCTAACAATAAAGAATTGGATTAATGGGACACTTCACAATATCAGAGTTAATGGGACACTTCACAATATCGGGATTAATGGGACAGTTGACAATATCAGGATCAATGGAACAGTTCACAATATCAGGATTAATGGGACAGTTGACAATATCAGGATTAATGGGACACTTCACAATATCAGTATTAGTGGGACAGTTCACAATATCAGGATTAATGGGACAGTTCACAATATCAGGATTAATGGGACAGTTCACAATATCAGGATTAATGAGGCAGTTCACAATATCAGGATTAATGGGACAGTTGACAATATCAGGATTAATGAGACAGTTGACAATATCAGGATTTATGGGACAGTTGACAATATCAGAATTAATGGGACAGTTGACAATATCAGGATTAATGGGACAGTTGACAAAATCAGGATTAATGGACAATTGACAATATCAGGATTAATGGGACAGTTGACAATATCAGCATTAATGAGACAGTTGACAATATCAGGTTTAATGGGACAATTGACAATATCAGGATTAATGGGTCAGTTGGCAATATCAGGATTAATGGAACAGTATATAATATTTTCACCTGGTCAACAGCTGCATTCAGAGATAGGAACACGTGATCTAGATTTCCAGGATTTTTTATCAGCTGATCCATGGGTTTATCCAGACGGCTCTGATCAAATCAAACCAAATCAAATAATCATGTTGTTTAAACTATGAGAAACAAGAAATACGAAAATTGAATATTTAAAAGGCAGAAATATGTCAGTGCGGAGATCAATCATTTACAACAGTTTTTCTAATTTTTACATCAAATAAAACTATTTCTGAGGCATGTTTTGTTGTGCACAAGATTTTATTGTCTTAAATGCATTGTACATTGTAAACATTTCTTATTTATCAAGCTTCAGGGTTACACAATATAAGAATTTGACTGTGAAGACGACCTAAAACTTTGTAAATATGACGTGACGGTGACCCACCGTACATTCGTCTCTCAAATCTCTACCTTTTTGGTTAACCCTGTAACTCGTTAAAAAGACTTATAGACTTAGAGTATACACTATATAATATACATCGGCCATAACTCTTATATTAAGCTATTTTCAATGATTTACTTTCCTTGTGATTTGGCATGATTGGTAGATAAACTATTCTTGTATCCTGGACCATCAAACTAACCTGAAAAAAAGTTTTAAAATAATTAAAGAAAACAAAACGTGGGTGCACTATCTCCCGAAAGGGACTATCAATATAATTTAAAGCAACCCCCCCCCCCACATAAGAGTTGCATGCCCCAATAACAAGGTTTATGCACCTTTATCTGAGCACCAAAGTTTGGTTTATTAATCTTAAAATAAAATTTTGAAAACTCTTTTTTGTTCTTGCAGTCAGGATTCTTTAAGAGATTTAATACAGTCATCGTCTTATATATCAATACAATGAAGACGATTTTCTATTTTAATTTTGGTATCTACCCAGCTTTCAATCAGCAGAAACTCTTAAACGAGTAAACATAGAGAAGATGTCAATTAACAGCTTCTCTTTGTTTACTAGTAAACTTCTAATTTTAAAAATGCTTGTTATGGATCAAAGCATTATTAATAAAAAGTCAAATTCGCTGTATTAAAACAAATACAGGGTTTTTAAGAAAAAATTCTAGATTCTTGTTTCTCATGTTATTTTCATTATTGTTAATAATGACACATTTGGTCATAGAATACATAAAATTTAATAAAGCTATAATTCTAATATTTTGATAAACTTGGTATCAGAAATAAGGACTCGGATAAAAAACACGAGAAACGTGACCTTTTTCAGATTCAAAAATGAGACTTTTCATCCTATTTTCTGGGACACCCTGTACAATTCCTACCTTAACCTTGTACTCATTCTCCATGGTGTTGATGAACTGGGAGAGGGTGAACCCAGGGCAGCCCCGCACCTCCCACACATCCCAGATTGTTGTACTGAAATATAGATATTTTAAACGGACTGTAGAACTAAATTAAACCATTCATAGAATGACAGGTTTTAATCACTTTGTTTGATTAAGAATGCTCTTTACTCTTTAAAAATGACTCTTTATCAACTTGGGGTCCTCTAAAAATTGACCTGAGTATTATTGGAGAAAATATTCATTTTTCAGGATGGAAAAAATGACGATATCTTCCAGTTTAATGAGCAGATAAAGGTTTAAATTGTATTGTTGTTTACTGGTGTCCCTTGAAATTACAACGACAGTATCTGTAAATATTTTAATTTAAGAATTGGTCTGGGTTAGAGAAACAATTCTTAACATATCAAACAAGTGGTATCTTTTATTTAACACAATAGTATGAATTTGAACTTGTTTTCACTGTTTACCTAAGGGTAGGAGACATTATATTCTGGTTAGGAGGAGGTGTATACACTTCCTAATGTTCACCTAAGGGTAGGAGAGATAATATTCTGTTTAGGAGGAGGAGTATACACTTCCTACTGTTTACCTAAGGGTAGGAGAGATAATATTCTGCTTAGGAGGAGGTGTATACACTTCCTACTGTTTACCTATGGGTAGGAGAGATAATATTCTGGTTAGGAGGAGGTGTATACACTTCCTACTGTTTACCTAAGGGTAGGAGAGATAATATTCTGGTTAGGAGGAGGTGTATACACTTCCTGATGTTTACCTAAGGGTAGGAGAGATAATATTTTGGTTAGGAGGAGGTGTATACACTTCCTACTGTTTACCTATGGGTAGGAGAGATAATATTCTGGTTAGGAGGTGGTGTATACACTTCCTAATGTTTACCTAAGGGTAGGAGAGATAATATTCTGGTTAGGAGGTGGTGTATACACTTCCTAATGTTTACCTAAGGGTAGGATAGATAATATTCTGGTTAGGAGGTGGTGTATACACTTCCTAATATTTACCTAAGGGTAGGAGAGATAATATTCTGATTAGGAGGAGGTGTATACACTTCCTACTATTTACCTAAGAGTAGGAGAGATAATATTCTGGTTAGGAGGAGGTGTAGTGTATACAATCCGTTCTCCCCCGCACCACCAAACACTCTCAGCTACTTCTTCCTCCAATATGTTTCTAAAGAAATCAATAATGAAAAACGACCACAGATATCTTAAATTACAATGGGAAAAATGTCGAGTGGGTGTATACAGTCCCTTTAATACTACTGTTCTGTTGACATATTTCTACCTTGTTTGATGAATGGTTTGAGCAGCAAGCTGAAGACTGGTTGTAGATAAGCAGGGTTCAACTAGTTTACAAATCTCATGTACTTCTGTACTGTCAGGTCGAGGGATATTGTACATGTCACACCGTAGGTAGGTTGTACACACTGAACAAAATAATATTTATACCGAAGCGCTAAAAAAGCAATTTTTTCTTAAAACTTTTTAATCCATAATTCAAAGTTTATTGTAAACTTCCAACGGGTGCGGAAAAGAAGGGTAAAGGTGAGAGTATCGCACGTAAAACTGCGTTATTTCTGGATAAAGATTGAAATTCTCTTTATTTTAACAACATTTGTTTAAAGAAGACATTTCTAAAAATGCTTCAACTCAGAATTGCTTCTGGAAAAGTTGGCAGCTAGTATGAAATATTATAGTTTAGGAGGAATTTGCAAGAGATCACATTGCAGGAAGACAAAACGGATGGGGACAGGAAGCACTAGGGTTGAGCGAGTTACCGAAAATTAATAAATGTGTGATTGTGGATTATTTGCGAAAAAGGAAGAAAACGGATGCGGCGTGACCTTCAGTTAATTCAAAGCATTTATCTCAACGGTATTTAACTAGAGGTTCCATACAGGGAGTAAGGAATAGAAGGGAGATATAACTGACGCGGTTCGCCCTACCATATGATTATACATGCTTTGCAGACGGTACTTCATTTGAATAAGAAATATTTGTCTGATGTACATTTACTGCGTATACAATAACCTATTCTGAATATTTCATATGCAAATGAAGTACCGTCTGCAAAGCATGTATAATAATATGGTAGGGTGAACCGTGTCAGTTATATCTCCCTTCTATTCTTTACTCCCTGGTTCCATAGTAATCGATTAAATTACTTTTACGACTGGCTTCAAAGTTGGTTCAATATTATTATTCCTAAAAGTTGTTGAAGAATATCCTTGTCCTGCAGACCAGTAGAGGGTGTTGCAGTCGATATATACTTGACTAGACTTGATAAACTTCCCGTCAATACACCAGAGGACTCTAGTGTACAACCAGGTCATCAAACAAAGGAAAGGGATACCCTTAATCCCGATTGCTAAACCTCTGTATTTTTCATTTCCCCCCATTTAGGAATTAAAAAATATACTTTCAGCTACGCGCGACAATTTCTAACATGTGAAAAAATTAGAAGAGGGAACATGCTTCAGGAGAATTTGTTAAAAATAAATAATCAAATGTTTTAAACAGACAACTAGATAATAAAGATATTGATGTATTGGTTGAATTCCTGACACATCATTCTTCTTTACGGACTCGTCTGTTTCTATTCTCTTGTTCTTAGGAACAAAACTAGCAACCGACAATTCACTGAATATATTTAATTATTTTTAAAGTAACTTTTATCAAGAGACTGTATGTAGACATAAATTCAAGTGATTCTTCATTTTAAAGATTCACGTTACCATAAACATCTTTTCTTAATATATAGTTAAATTTTGGCAATTGCCTTCTTTCATCCTCGGATGAAATGGGCAAATCACTTTTAAATAAAACACCAATTGTAAATGATCAATTTTTAGATTTAAAAAAAAAATAGAAATATTCCCCCCAATTTAGGGACAAAAACATGTTTGCCGCTATGCGCCACCATTTCTAACATGTAAACAAAATAAGGAAAAAGACATACTCATGTTTAGAATAAGATATTTGATCTGAGCCCGCGATTTAAAAACTTCGGCTCGAGTCGTAATACTTTAAACCCGACTTAAGACCCAATCTTCGACCCAACTCTACGGCAGCTTGTGTCACGTGATTGACAGCTGCAAGATCTTCGGTTCGACTTAAGAAGTAAGGCCCAATGAAAATAAAACCGACCTGGCCTTGGTTGGTTTTAGTGGAGAATAAGGCTCAATGTCGAGTGTTGTTCTCATAAAACCCGAAATGTGTCGATTCCTACAAGGAAAATCCGCCAAATAGAATATTAAACCGGATTAAACTCAATTTTGTTGAAAATAAGATGCAGCTTGAATCCGAAAGCTCAAGCCATAAATAAGGCCCAACGACAGCTTAGAACCGAGCCGTATTTTCCCGAATTTTTTGAATTGCGGGATCTGAGTGTTTAAGGTTTAAAGGGTATATAACAGTCGTTAAAAGAAGAATCTACTTATTCTACAGTATTATAAAGAAAGATATCAATGTAGTTTGAAAATCTGAAAAATAATTTTAGTTGTTTTCGATAAGCTAGCTTTAAGTTTAATGCATGAAACAGTTACCTAATTATACTAAGAATATTAGTATCTGCTGGAACAGAAACATTTAAGATTTCAGCAAAGCCCTTGGCAAGAAGAAGAACAAATTCTAAAAATAAAATTAATGTTCAAATCTCTTCACACACCAGTAAAGTCAATAATGATGAATTTTCATGATGAAATGTTTGTTGCACGACCAAATTGAGTACAAGGTGAAATTGAAAAATATTGAAATAATTAGTACATTACTTATAAAAAGTATAGTACACTACCATATATTGAAATTGAAAAATATTACCGGAAAAATTAAATTCAAAATTGAAATTGAAATTCTGTCTTGAAGCAGGAGATAAAAAAAAACAATAAAAACTAAAAAAATGAAGCAAGAAAAGACTTATATATTACCTGTGTGTACTTGATTATCAGGATCAAATATAACAGGAACCGGTTTTAGTTTTGGCCAGGACCAGAAAAGTCCACCATCTGACGATTAATATAGTTTTACAATTAAGTACATCCAGGAAAAAAATGCTAAGAATCTCGGACGAAGCAAGTTATTTGAGAAGTTTATCGGAATTAAAAAAATTCTTGTTTAAAAAAGTATTTTACATGACAACTTATTTCAAAAACATGCATTATTCTCTATTTCAAGTTTTGTAATTGTCAACTTACTTCAAAAACAGACAAAAAAAAAAATCTATTAATGCACATTAGTTTTGTTGTAGAATATTTGTAAAAATTTAGTAAATCAACTAAACAAGTTTGCAACCAAAAACATGTCTTAGGTAGGCTTTTATGAATAAAGCAAGAAAACATTGAGTAAGTCCGACCTTTGTCAGGTTCCCCTAAGAACTAAACATATACCTGTCAATTGAGCATCCTGCGGGAAGCTAGTTGTTAGCTGCTGAGCTTTAAAGTTAAAATATTTCTGGAATTTAATCCTAGCCGCAGCTACACAGCTGCTCCAAGTAGCTCCTGACCCACAGCTGTTCAGGTAGAACTGAGTCTCTCTGGGTAATAAGAAAAAGTAAAGACACTGTTAATTTTTCAAAGTTAGTTTGGAATATTGGAATATAGACTTTTTCATTTGCTTAATTAAGCCTATTCATTCACACATAAGACAAAAGTTTTTTTTGCTTTAGTTGATAATAAATTTTATTTTCAAACGCTCCTACTTGTTTTAATATTATACACAGATTACAGTGACGACCATATCGGCTTTAATCTAATTCAAAAATTACATTGTTTAATGTATACATTTTTACTGCACACTTTTCCGTCATTAGTCATAATTTATTTAATAAATAATTATACTGATAACAAGAGTGAAAATAATGATACCTTGAACCTGGAGGAACCTCACCAGATTTCAATGCTCTCTCCAGCTCATCTTCTCTACCCCTATACTCCTGGAAAAAGAGAAATATATTTTAAATAAATATGATTGATTGAAGTGTCTGTGTACACTGCATTTATATTGTAAACTGTATTTGTTGTTTATTTACATATATACGCTACCAGAGTCTACAGGTTTACAACCTACAGCCTATGACAAATCCCAAAAGACATGGAAATCATACAGTAATAACCAGAAAACTGTGGCATATAAAGACGAACTTAAAGCAATACTTACAAAGCAAATAGTTTTAGTAGTAGCTTACTAAATCGCTTATATTTGATGTTGTTACAAAGCAAATAGTTTTAGTAGTAGCTTATTAAATCACTTATATTTGATGTTGTTACAATGCGAATGGTTTTAGTAGTAGCTTATTAAATCACTTATATTTGATGTTGTTACAAAGCAAATAGTTTTAGTAGTAGCTTATTAAATCATTTATATTTGATGTTGTTACAAAGCAAATGGTTTTAGTAGTAGCTTATTAAATCACTTATATTTGATGTTGTTACAAAGCAAATAGTTTTAGTAGTAGCTTATTAAATCATTTATATTTGATGTTGTTACAAAGCAAATAGTTTTAGTAGTAGCTTATTAAATCATTTATATTTGATGTTGTTACAAAGCAAATAGTTTTAATAGTAGATTATTAAATCATTTATATTTGCTGTTGTTACAAAGCAAATGGTTTTAGTAGTAGATTATCACTTATTAAGTTAGATGGGTCTGTTACACTACAAAATTGCTATTTCTTAGGTTTTTGGACGTATCTATATTCTTTTATCTTAATTTTAATCTTATAATTTGAAGATAAATGCTTGATTCACACCCCCCATATTAATTTAACCTTGAATACATCATATCCAAAGAGTTTCAGGTCAACTTAATAATTTCATTCCTTGTGGGTAACTCTGTAAAATAAATATAAAGCTTTATTACCTGTATAAATATATTTCTAGCTTCTAGTTTTCTCACCAATATTCTCTCTAATTTCTCTTGAGCCCAGTTTACTGCATGCTCAGCTCGGTGAGGGAAGGACTAGAGTAAATATTTCAAATTTTTCGTGAAATCTTTAATAAATTATTGGTAGATTCAAATTTTAATGTTATTTTAATGACTCATTTCTGGGGAAAAATAAAATGGTTTCATTTATTGGTATATTTGATTCACAGGACTTAATTAATTAGTGCTTAGAGTAAAGTTCATTTCCAAAATAATACATTTGATGTGCTTAATTATAATAAAACTAAGGGTTTCTTAATCTAATGATCTACAGATCCAAATTGGACAGCAAACGAGTTATCATGCATAAAGGCAATATTGCGCATAATGTATAATTCTAAAACTTTTATAAAAGAAGTTTCTTCGTATTTGGTCTTTATATGATTGATCAGTGCGTTTAAGCAAGAGGGTTGATTTCTTAACGAAATGTTCGGAGTTTTTAGCTCAAAAGCTAAGAATTGTATTTCAGAAGCTAAGGTAAGAATTGCATTTCAGAAGCTGAGGTCTCAAGGTTTAGAAAACAAGCAGAAATCCTTTTGTATTCGGAAAATCAAAGTTCACATTTAGATAATCTGGATTAGCTAAAAAAAATTGTGTTTAAAACATTAATTTGCTTGTAAATAGACAAACAAAATTAAGTATGAAAATTGATGTATGTGCGGATATAAAAATGACTGTTCACCTACATAATAATATTAAAAAAGGGCACATTTTATGCGATAAAATTTTTTTAGATAAAATAAAATAGAGTAATTAAATAGTATTTAATCATAGTGATATTTTTTACATCTTCCATGACATGACACATGACATGACAGTGTGCTTGAAGGACTTCCTAAGAGATGAGAGAAATCCCATGTAACTTTTTTTTGAGATTCTGAGAGCTCACCAAGACGAACATTTTACGATATGTCAGCACTTTTTGCTCGGGCGAATTTTCCCGCAATTTGCATATTTACAAAGTAATGTGTTTTTGACATTTTCCAGCTCGTTACATAGAAACTTACTTTGAACATTTTTGAAAAATACCCGTATTTAGATGTAAAATGTGCTTCAAAATACTCTGTTTTAGCTGAGGATATAATTATAATAGTTAATAATATAAGGGTAAGTGGAAAGGTCTATAGTAAAGGGTATGGAAAGGTTCAGGAAAGGATAAGGGGAAAGGTCTAAAATAATGGGTATAGAAAGGTTCAGGATAAAGGATTATGGGAAAGGTCTATAGTAAAGGGTATGGAAAGGTTCAGGAAAGGATAAGGGGAAAGGTCTAAAATAATGGGTATAGAAAAGTTCAGGATAAAGGATAAGGGGGAAGTTCTTGAGTACAAAGTAAAAAAAGCTCTAAATGTATCCTCAGCTAAACAAGAGTATTCTGAGGTACATTTTACAACTAAATACGGATATTTTTTTCAAAATGTTCTAAGTCAGTTTCTGTGCAAATAGCTAAAAAAAAAAAAATCATTACTTTGCCAATATGTTAATTGCAAGAAATCTCGTCCTAGGAAAAAGTGCTGACATATCGTAAAATGTTCATCTTTATGAACTTTTTCAGAATCTCAAAAAAGTTTCTTGGCATTTTTATTTCTTAGAGGTCCTTCAAGCACACTATGAATACACATGTATTGTCAACAATCTATAGCTTCTCATCAGTACAACTTATCTTCAACCATGGGTAGAAGAAGAGGTAAGAGTAAGCTTTTATTTGGAATTCTATAATGTGCTGTATTCCCATAAGGCATTCATCAAAGGAACAACTGTGGAAAGCTACATATTTCATGCTTGGTTAGCAATGCAATTGGTTAGTAGTAAACCAAATGAAAAAGTTTTGAGCTGGTTCTTTACCAGTATCGACCTAATTTGTGGCCAGCCAAGAAGAAGAGAGGAAACAGCTTTCCTGAAGGTCCGAATAGATGGAATATGTGTAGTCAAGAGTGGGAAGTCATCCAAGAAGGACGGGAAGAGTCTGACAGACTTCAAGGTTCCCAAGAAGGAAGGGGTCGTGGTCGAAGACATGAGAGAGGATGTTACAGAGGGTCAACTCGGGGTAGAAGAGGTTCCTCTGCTGTGGATTCTGATAATCTTCCTTCTCCATAAGTTATGCTTTGATTTGTTTAAATAAGAATATAAATTGTGAGCAGTTTTTATTTCTTTTTTACCCATTTTGTGAGCAGTTTTTATTTCTTTTTTATCCATTTTGTGAGCAGTTTTCATTTCTTTTTATCCATTCCTAATCTGTATATAATTGTCTATTATTTTGCATTGGACATATATTGATAAGGTTTTAAATATTTTTGAGATAAAGTCGTAATTCCAAAGGGTATTTGATATATTTGGAATGTTTGAATTATCATCTTATTTTAGATTTTTAACCAGATTATTTGAACTAGCATATTTTTCTACCCTTGCATTTTATCAACAAACTAATCAAATGATATTTTCACACAGCCAGGTAGTTTTAAAATAAACGTTTTACTCTGCTGCATAGTTTTCTTTATTTGGTGTTAAAAGATATACTGTTATGTACGTGCACAGATTATTACAGTCGCTTGCACTACTGACATGATTGTGCACATAGCACCCCTTGTTGAAAACTTGAACAAATCCCTTAAATTGGAAAAAAACGCTGTTGTCAACACTTGTTCTTAATTACTATCTCTCAATAAATTAGTTGACTAAATTGGACCAAGTTGTTTTATTAAGTTGTGAGGAGCTTTAATTTAAATAAAGAAATTAATAAGCCAAAAATTATTAAAAAGGTGCACTTTACTCTAGTTAATTCTTTATTAATCTCTCTCATCATTATTATTTTAAATTTTTTAACTCACCTTAAGTATACAGTGAGGTGTTTCTCCTTCTAGTGGGTCTAGTAAGCATGAGTAGGACACAGTTTGGTGGGGTATAAAGGTTTCTAGTTGACCTAGACATTAAAAATACATATTTCAGGTTTATAGTTGAAATACAGGTTTCTAGTTGACCTAGACATTACAAATACAGGTTTCTAGTTGACCTAGACATTATAAATACATATTTCAGGTTTACAGTTGAAATACAGGTTTCTAGTTGACCTAGACATTATAAATACATATTTCGAGAAGACCTAGACAATACACATACAGGTTTCTAGTTGACCTAGACAATACACATACAGGTTTCTAGTAGACCTAGACATTATAAATACAGGTTTCTAGTTGACCTAGGCATTACAAATACATATTTCGAGTAGACCTAGACAATAAAAATATAGGTTTCTAGTTCACCAAGACATTACAAATACAGGTTTCTAGTTGACCTAGACATTACAAATATAGGTTTCTAGTTGACCTAGACATTATAAATACATATTTCGAGTAGACCTAGACAATACACATAAGGTTCCTAGTTCACCAACACATTACAAATAAGTTTTCTGGTTGACCTAGACATTATAAATACAGGTTTCTAGTTGACCTAGGCATTACAAATACAGGTTTCCAGTTGAACTAGACATTACAAATACAGGTTTATAGCTGACCTAGACATTACAAATACAGGTTTTTAGTGGACCTAGACATTACAAATACAGGTTTATAGTTGACATAGACATTATAAATACAGGTTTCTAGTTGACCTAGGCATTACAAATACAGGTTTCCAGTTGAACTAGACATTACAAATACAGGTTTATAGCTGACCTAGACATTACAAATACAGGTTTTTAGTGGACCTAGACATTACAAATACAGGTTTATAGTTGACCTAGACATTACAAATATAGGTTTCTAGTTGACCTAGGCATTACAAATACAGGTTTCTTGTTGACCTAGACATTACAAAAACAAGTTTCTAGTTGACCTAGACATTACAAATGCAGGTCTCAAGTTGACCTAGACATTACAAATACAGGTTTCTAGTTGACCTAGACATTATAAATATATGTTTCTAGTTGACCTAGACATTTCGAATACAGGTTTTTAGAAGACCTAGACATTAAAAATATAGGTTTCTAGTTGACCTTTACATTACGAATACAGGTTTCTAGTAGACCTAGACATTATAAATACAGGTGTCTAGTTGACCTAGACATTACAAATACAGGTTTCTAGTTGACCAAGAGACATTATAAATACAGGTTTCTAGTTAACCTAGACATTACAAATACAGGTTTCTAGTTGACCTAGACAATATAATACAGGTTTCTAGTTGACCTAGACATTACAAATACAGGTTTCTAGTTGACCTAGACAATATAATACAGGTTTCTAGTCGACTTAGACATTACAAATACAGGTTTCTAGTAGACCTAGACATTACAAATACAGGTTTCTAGTAGACCTGTACATTACAAATACAGGTTTCTAGTAGACTTAGACATTATAAATACAGGTTTCTAGCAGACTTAGACATTACAAATACAGGTTTCTAGTTGACCTAAAGATTACAAATACAGGTTTCTGTAGACCTAGACATTACAAATACAGGTTTCTAGTTCACCAAGACATTACAAATACAGGTTTCTAGTTGACCTAAAGATTACAAATACAGGTTTCTGTAGACCTAGACACTACAAATACAGGTTTAAAGTTGACCTAAAAATCTGTTTTAAGTTTTTAAAGTTTTTGATCAGTTTTATATTTCTAACTTTTTCGATATTCATTTTTTAAAGCGCTTTTCATATTTAATTCAGCATACAATTTCCAAGAAAATTATGTAGGACATGAAATTTTTCAAAATAATTTTTTGGGGGCCTCACAGTTATTTCTCCGATATTAAATTGTCAAATTACAATCGTATGGACAATTTTGATTTTTTTTATTGCAATATTTGTATTAAATGAAGACGCAGCAACCTCTGGTTAGCTGATTTCTGAAAAATTCACAAATAATCAGCCTTAGTCTTCAGACCCTTTAAAATTACCTCTGAATGTATCTTGAGCCAGCATTATTAGAGGTTTCAATATAGATACACAATGGTCTCCAATACTCCGTCTGAACTTGATAAACGTTTATAACTTAAATGTGGCAAATGGGGATCATCACGGCTAAGCGTCTGTTCATTGAATGACACTATAACCCCCCNACCTGACTTGTTAGAAATTAGGTGACTTTTCAATGCATATGTTAAGACTTTTAAGTTTCACAATTTTTTTTCCAAACATGACGAGGAAAATTTTTTTATTCTGAAAATACAGATAGTTAGACAGAAATAAGTATCCATTAAAGTTGTGATATCTAATAGAACAAGGGGGGGGATATTATACTCGTTTCTGTTCCTAGTGCTAAAATCCCCCGAGCAGCAGATAACAAGATCAAACTCCACTAGATTAGGGAAACTGGAGGTAGTTATAAACTTGATAAATCCAGGATAATGTTCTTCCTCTCCTCCTTTCTCTCCGGCAATAACAAGGTTGACAAGTTTGGCGGATTTGAGCTGATTCACTACTTCACGGCTAATAGGGTTCCAACCGTAGATAAAAATCTTCTTCCCATCTTTGTAAAATAAGTACTTATAGGTATTTTTTTGTTATTTTAAGTATTTAAAGTAATCTACTCAAGACTATCTTAAAATAAGTTAAGAAATAGCTAAATATATCTCTTTGATTTGTGCTTTGTATTAAGGGTTTCCGACACAAGTGGATTTTATTTGCGCGTAATTGGAAACCCTATTTCTAATTCAAGACTGAATAAGCAGCCTTCGTTATTTTCACTTAAAAAAATTGAATTTTCAGCCAAAAAGTAATCTCTTTAGTTTAAAAGTTTCCATAATTAATAAAACAATCGAAGCATCAAAAAATAAGATCAGTTTAAATTAGAAAAAAAATTGTAGAAAAAAAGGTTTCATGATCTGGTCTAAATGGGATCAATTGGTTCAGATCTGGTCTGATTTTTGTAGGATTCTAGTCTGATTTTTATGCCATAAATACTAGGATACTTAAAAAAAAGTAAGTTCCGAATATTGAATAAAACTTTCAATTTTAACATGTTACTAGTATTGATTTATACCTAGATGGTTTAGGTTGATTGGACAACTTCGTATCTGAGCAGGGTTCTTCACCCAGCCTGGAGAAACTAGAACCCGGAGAACCTGGTCGGAGAGGAACCCCAGTACTTCAGGGTTTAGGAGAGAGCTAGTTGGACACTCAAAAGTTTTGACTTCAAACCAAACTTTTAAAATCGAATTACAATAGTCTACTTCTAAACTTCATTATTTTAGATTTGAAAATGAATAACTCCAGAAAAATCCTGGTTTGATCACAGTAGTTATCAACTTAAACTATAGAATGTAGTTCTCTACAAAAACCTTAAAAATTTTATCTTTCTATGAAGCAAATGTCAACAATTTTTTCAAACCAATTTAATTTTGAAAATAAATTTGGCTTGTCTGTCTGTCTGTTTGTTTGTATCCAATAAACGTCAAAACGGCTGAACCGATCGGGCCCAAATTTTTTGTGGGACATCTAGGGACCCCAGGGAAGGTTTATGAAAAATCAAAATTTCAAATATTTGTCTCCATCAAAATTCGATCGTCATTAAATTTTTAAAAATTTTGAAAATCCGCGGAATTTTTTGTGAAAATCCGCGAATTATTTTTTGTTTTGTTTTACGATGTACACAAAGAGAACATGTTCACAATTAATTTAGGAACTGGGCGCGAAGCGCCCTCTAAGGCTAGAAAGAATGGCGCGAAGCGCCTTGAATTTCTAGTTTTGAAATATTTTTAAAGTCAGAACTACAAGTTATGCCTCTTTCTGAACAATTTGAATTTGATGCAATTTAATCTTATTTTGAAAATTTAAAAAGGTTGGTTTCCTATCGAGGATAGCTGAGGTGAATGTACAGGCCAGGATACTCGTCGAACTAGTTTTACTTCATCACCTTAATGTTAGTTTGAAAAAAGTTAAACTTTGTAAAACATTTATCAACTGAAACTGCTTTCAAGATCTTTAGATGAAAGAGTGAGAGAACATATTGGTTACATTAGAAATCTCTACACAAACCAGGCTACAGGAGAACATTTTAACCTTTCTGGACATGAACTCTACCATCTAAAAGTTAGCGTACTAGCAAGGTTTGGGACCTTGGGAGAAGTTTACTTGAAGTAAGTGAATCTAAATATATTGGAGATTTTATGACTGAACTCAGAGGAATGAACAGAAAAAAATAGTTTTTATTTAACTGTAATTCAGTATTTTTTTTAAAAAGGAGTATTGCTATGTCCAGTTCTTTAAAAGGTTTAAATACTCCTCCTTAACAAGCCGTCCCCCTTCCCCCAAATTTACGCAAAAGTTCGTTAATTAGATCGACCCCCCACCACCACTTGATGCACATACATATAAACAGTTTGGTTTTAATCTTTCTGACAGAAACAATCTCAAGGAATAATAATTGTCTTATAACATTTTTTAAAAAGTGAATATTTGCAAACTTTTTTTTCTATCATGATCTGAGTTCGTTTCCCTTTGGTCCATTTGACAGCTATTTTTTTAAATAATCTTTTTTATTTGTTTATTTTCTTGTGTTTTTTTATCGATTTTGATGGTTATTATATCGGTAGAACTGACGAGGGTCAACCCAAACCGAAATATATTTTCAATAAATGTGGAACTAACATCTACTTTTTTTTACTCTACAGAGGTTTGGTCCATCACCATCACCGAATTTTAAATCAATTTTTAAATCCTTATATTTTACCAACCTAGTGATGTAACCCTTGATATTTCAAACTTCGACAATAATTGATAGTGTGAGTAAATATAAAAGATTTACGACATTAGGTTGCAAAGATATATGGATTAATTCACGCTTGATCAAGTATTCAGTATTTTTATTGCTTAGGTTAATTTTAATTACCAAACCGACTTTGAAACAGCTACAACAAGCTCTACATTATACACTATACATGGGGGGCAAATCCCCCTCGCCCCCTCGTATTGAGAAAGGGTGTGTTAATAGAGCAGTGATCCGGCCAGGTGGTCGAAGGAAGCTAAGCTAGAAAATTCAATTCTAAATCAACCTCAGGCTGTAGATACAGGCCATGGTAATTGGGGCTTCTGGCTTCGGCTACTGCCACTCGGGCATAACAGTATCATTGCATGCTAACTCTGTGATCTATGCACCCCGGAGGGGGGGTGGTTACCAGGCAACACTTGTGTTATTGGGGAGTCATAATCAGGCCCGTAACCAGGATTTTTCCAGGGGGGGGGTGCAAAAAAAAGTTTTTTTTTAAAAGCAATGGTTGGTTGGTTTTTACGGTGGTATTTGGTTTTCTTTATTACATTTTTATGTACGCTATAAAGACTGACCTTTTTAACAAGTGTATTTTAGCTTTTAAGGGTTACATTTTAGTGTCTGAAACTTTTCAGTTTACATATACAATATACATAATAAATAAATGAATGGTACTTTAGCTTAAGGAAAAAATTCATTATTTAAAATCTTGTCCCTCAGCCTCATCATGATATTATGAAGATGAATAAAAAATAAAATTTCTAATATTTTGTTTAAAAGAGTTTATTCATTGACATTGAGACATTAAGACATTCTTAGTGAATTTTATTTCTACTTTGACTAAAAATGACAAATATCCTTGCTTAAAATAATGTTTTTGAAACTCTCAAAAATGGCAGTTATATTCCAAAATAAATGGATGAATTTTTTCCTTTTAACCAAGGGTAACTAGATTTTAGAAAATTATGAGAAACATTTTCTTTTATATGGGACTGGGGGGGGGTGCAAATTCGTCATTGCACCCCCCTTTCAGAAGAAAGGGGAGTGCACCAGCACCCTTGCACCCCCCCCTGGTTACGGGCCTGGTCATAATAGATAGATAGATAGATATATACAGACTAATTAGACAAAACGGGACAGTACACCAAACTAATCATCCCCTTCTACACCCTTGCACCCCCCCCCCTGGTTACGGGCCTGGTCATAATAGATAGATAGATAGATATATATACAGACTAACTAGACAAAACGGGACAGTACACCAAACTAATCATCCCCTTCTAGGGAAATTTATGTGCCAGTATCTCACCTTGTGAGCAGGGTTGGGATGATGATATGGAGAATGCCAGGTCTGATATAACCCCGGAGATAATTTGAGTTCTAGAAGAGAATCCTAGGACTACTTCATCTCCAGTATCTAACCCATGAGTACGATCACATGTCACTTAAACAAAGGTTCAATTCAGGAAATAAAATATTAAATATTAACATTGGAGGTCATTTCTAGTAACTCTTTATTTAAGAAGGAACGTGCTCTATTTACAACTTCACCCGTTACACCTTTATCAAATCAATGATGTGAAGATATCTTGGTTTTTCTATCTTCAAGTCTTTATGATAGTTTCCTTAATTGTTTTGTTACCGTAGCAGAAATCCACGAATCACTTTGAAAGAGAAACCGCAATAAAAATAATAAATTTTTTAAAGCTAAAATTATTTAACAACTTACTTTTTAATTCTTGACAAAACAAAGTTTTTTTTGGTACCGTTGCTAATTTATTAATGGTGGCTCACTTAGAATTCGTCAAACCCCTTAAAGTTACCTATAAGTGAAGTATCTGCCTGTCCCACAGCTCCAACATGTACATTACGTACTGCCTCTGTGTACACACCACAGTTAACCGGGGTATACTGGATACTCTTACCAAAATCAGTCTTCACTTCAATATAACCATTCTCTCTCAGAACAACTAGAAACAAATTAATTTGTTATAAAAATTGCTAGATATTATTATCAAAACCACCCTTAGAGCAAGTAGCCAACTTATTGGCATTCGATCTATAATCTATACAACAAAGCTCTTCGCTGATATATATAATTAAGCTATAGCTGGCCAAACGGACCAAATAAGCTAAATTTTTTGTGAAGGAAAAAAATTAGTTTTTTCTCTCTAGAAATCTTAACTATATTTTTTTATAATTCAAAATTATTTTTTTTTCTCGAAGTGGTGTCAAAATTTAACGGGGAACCTGGCCTGGCCTGTAACATAATATTAATAATGCTACTAAAATATAATGTCTATTTCTAACTAATCTAAGTCTTTTTTCTCGATTAATCTTAATATTTTTTTCTTTATCTTACAATTAAACAAGAATTCCTGAATTTTTGTGTTTGTTCTGGTGACTTTTTATCACGATCAGCCATAAGACCTTCCCTGGGGTCACGTGAGTTCCCCGTTTTATTAATTAATCAGAAAAGTCATGAATAGAAGATGCTTGATACTGAATAGGAATGCTGATACCTAGAATGAAGGGAATGTTCCTAGAATGCGTGAATGAATTGATATCATGGTAACTACTAATATCTGAACTAAGGAAGACGACTACTCCAACCCTTGTCTCCAGATTCTAGCGGAAATAATACATTTGAACATTTTTTTCTCACACAGATTAATAACCTTTTAAAAAGGACCTAATACATATTTTAGGCAAAATGCAGGGGTGCATATTTTTGAGTGGGACCAAAAATATGAGCTTTCATTGGGTTTTGGGGGAAAAAATTAAGAAAAAAGGAATAAGGGGGAAGGAAAGAGAAAAGGAAAAAGGGAAGGGGAAGGGAAAAGGGGAATAGGGAAGGGAAAAGGGGAAGAGGGAAGGGAAAAGGGGAAGAGGGAAGGGAAAAATGGGAAGAGTGAAGGGAAAAAGGGGAAAAGGGGCAAAAGGGAATGGAAAAAGGGGAAGAGGGAAGGTTGAAATCAAAAAGTTGTTCAAAATCTTAAACATAGCGGCTGAAAACAAAAAAGTTGCTGAAAAATCTTAACCCCAGTGGTTGAAAGCAAAATACTGTATTTTCTCAGCGGTTGAACTAATAAAAAAGTTTTCAAAAGTGGAAAAAAAGTTAACGAAAATAGTACGATTTTAGCAGTTGAGCAAATTTTAAATTTGAGAAAAACGGGAATGATATATACTTTGGAGAAAAAAACTCAGCGGGAGCGGTTGAACCAGCGGTTGAGATCTAGCCTAGACTCTACGCAGTTCAGAATAAGAAATGCGCCTTTTTTTTCTCAAATTTAAAATTTGTTCAATCAATAAATTCCTGCTTTTTTCATTCATATTTTTATTCACTTTTTAAAACTTTTTTAGTAGTTAAACACACTTTTTTGCTTTCAACCGCTGGGCTCANATAAATAAATAAATAAATAAATAAATAAATAAATAAATAAATAAATAAATAAATAAATAAATAAATAAATAAATAAATAAATAAATAAATAAATAAATAAATAAATAAATGGTTAACAATCATTCCGTTTATAATTGGGAGATTGAAAGAACAGAAAAGGGGGATGTACGTAAAGAAGAGTTACTTTCTAATGATGATAATTGGTTTTGAAATAATTTTTAGACGCATAATCGCAAATAAATACAAAAAGATTTTTTATCCAAAAATTATAAATTAAAAATCAAATTCGTAATATTACAAAACTTTACTTCATTAAGAAAGGTCAAGCATTTAAAAGGTTTAAAATATAATTAAAATATAAGAATATAAGTTTCTGGACCTATAACTATCGTTTCTCTCCCTCTTTACTTCAGGTTTTATGTCTGCTCCATTCAATCTGATTAAACAAAAACAATTAATAAAAATATGTTTCAAAATTTTATCATTGGAATTGAGTCAACCCCCAACGTTATACCAAAATTTATAAATGTATATTAGATATGGTATAGAAATCAAAGTTGTAAACAGATCATATTCAGCAAATACATTTCTTGACTTGAAAATAAAAATTAACAGACAAAATCTTATTATTTAGTTTAAAAATAATGTGCGTTGATGTATTTCCTGCAGCAGTTGAGATTTACTACATGCTTCTCCATCTAAGGACTGATTAAGGGTAGAATAGACAGAGACGTAGTGGAACCCAGTTTTTCTCAGGATACTAGCTAGACCTAACTCCTTCTCTTCGTCCTCAACCAGGAGAATAGGTTTAAGGAGAACCTCTTGTAGAACAGGAATCATTCTAAACCTCTATCCTCCTCCAACTGATTTCAAGCTTTCTAAAATATAGGATTTTAAACAATGTTTTCCAAATACGCAATAGTTAGGGACAAACATTTAATCATAAAATTACGGCTCACTTGCTCGTCTTGTGATGAAATAATTTCCACTCATTAATTGAAAAAGCCAGGACTGTCGATTGGAACAGAAACAGGTTTTAACAGTTTTACTATAAACGTCTTAAATTTTAGTGTACACTTAGAATTACATTGACATAAACAAAAGATTGTACAGTATTAGGAAATAGCAATGCTAACTAAAAGGTAGTGATTGGATGATTTTTAACGATGGATTACTATGTAGTATAGCGAATCTAACAAAACTGAGGAACAGCAAGACGACATTTAAGCAATATTGTGTGTATTTGATGTTGTTAAAAAGCAAGTGGTTTTACCAGACGCTTAAAAATCAAGTAGTCAAGCTATTTCAGTCTGTGTAGTTGTACACCTACATAATTGCTGTGTTTCCAGTTAATTTTCAACTGATTAAAAGTATAGATAGTCTAACATTCGTTGTCCTATTCCACCGTTTAATTTCAGAAGAATTAAAATAAATTCGATCCCTTTCGTGAAGTGAAGTTTAAATTTATAAACAGACTAAAGTATATTAAATAATATTGTGGGTATAAGGAATATTGATTCTTAATTTTTATAACATTTCCAGCTCTGAGCATTTTTTGTATTAAAACATGAAGTTAACTTTTTATGCCGCATTATCTGAGGAAAAAGGCACATGTTAGTTGAACCTATTGAACTTACCAAGTACGATTCAGAGAGAAACTTGATTGAAATCACATAGTTCTGAAAATACAAAAATATCACGTTTTGGAGCAAGAGGAAAGTTTCTATACTTTATCACGTTCACTTTAACTTATCTTATTTATCAAAAAAAAAAAAGGCAGAATATCACAATTCTTGAAACATATCATTGGCCAAAAATTCCACAATGAAATTAATTTTTAATAGAGATCACAGAAAATCATTATAAAAAATTATCAAGCCACGGGAAGCATCATGGTGCAAATTATTACGCCAAACGATACTTCTTTAAAAATGTTATTAACAGATATAAATATTTTATTTTGTACTCAATATCAGACTTAGTCTAAAACCATTTTTTTTATCTCAAGATTCGTCCAGTTGGATATTCTATCTTCGATGGTTCCCATTTTCCCTAAAATCCCTTGATCTGCTTCTGTCGTAGTCCATGGTCTCCCTTGATCTGCTTCTGTCGTAGTCCCGGGTCTCCCTTGATCTGCTTCTGTCGTAGTCCCGGGTCTCCCTGGACAGGCTTCTGTCGTAGTCCCTGGTACCCCTGTATAAAATATTTTTGAACCAGAGTTATTTCTTTTTACCTGATTTATTATCATTCTTATGTTTAAAATGTACAATGTACATTGTTTTTATCTGCAATTCTCATTCGTTTATAGTGGGCCAACCAATTAAAACAACCTACTCTGGTTAGGCGGGTCCAAACTACATAGTAAATTGTGATTTTTTTTTATTTGTATTATCTCGTGCTTTGTAGTTGAATAAAAATATGAATATGAATTTTCCTGTTAGAAGTTAAAAAAAAAACTCGCGAAAAATCATCTACTTTCCCCCCAAATTTCCAATGATAATAATTATGAAATGACCGTTGTAACAAACGTGGAATCCCCAGACCGCCATAGGGCGTAAAGGGACCCTGACGTAGTTCCCCCTAACCCAGTGTGAAAACCTTAACAAAGGGTTAACTTTATAAAGAAGAAATGGAAGCCCTGGGGAGGGGAGGGGGGATAATACCACTGAAAAATAGACTTGATTTTGCAAATGAACCTATTAAATGCAAAGTTTGCTAAATTTTCTATATTTTATTTTTTAATGTGAAGGCTTGGTTAAATAAAAGTCTGATCAACCTTTGATCTGTTTGTCGTGTTCTAGGTGATAAATCTCTCGGTGAATAAGTTCGATCTCTATGAGAATAATCTGCTCGAGATCCACCGTTGAACTCTCTAGATCCTCCCCTGGGAGAATTATCTCTTCTCTCTCTTCTCTCACTTACTCCTCGCCAACCAACCTCGGGTCTGGACCTGCACAATCGTTACGTAAAATCAAACCAAACCAAATCAAATCTTACTAGCGTGGTAAAAAAGTATTTCTAAAGAGTATGATTTTTTCAAGAAAATATACACCCTGTCCTCATGTTTAGATTGGAGGGTGGAAATGAACAGTAAAGAGGCTGTTGAGGAAAATTAAAGGGGGTATAGGCTGAAACCTAAACAGGTTAGGAGTTTGATAGCGACCTAAATGAGTTCTATCTGATGTTCCTGTTTCGAGAAAATTGATATAAAACCGTTTCAACGTTATACCAAAATTTATAAATGTATATTAGATATGGTATAGAAATCAAAGTTGTAAACAGATCATATTCAGCAAATACGCAACTAATCTAAATATTACGATAACCCAGAGGAGCCTTAACAGCTTTTATAATTTGAATATATTACTTATTCATTTATAATAGATTTAAACGATAATATAATTGATAAGTCTATATCACGTGACCAGAATTTCCACCAATACAGTGCAGCATCATTGTCACGTGTCTCCTTCTGTGTCACTTATTACAACTTCTCGAGACTGGAAAATCATATAGAACTCGTATGGTTTGCGATCAATTCCTAACGTGTTAAGGTTTCAGCCTATAACCCTTTCATTTTTCCTTAACAGTCCCTTTAAAGGGAGTGACCGGCTATGTAAAGTAGTTGAACTGAGGACGCAGTGTTGTCGAAAACTTCTTTAGGATTCATTTGAGACATATTTCACTTTTTAAAGATCTGTAAATCCTGAGTTTGAGCGCAAATTCGACGTTCAAAACTCCTGATTTGGGGGTGGATACGCTTTCAGAATTAGTTTTTTTT